TTTTTTTTTTTTTTTTTTTTTTTTTTTTTTTTTTTTTTTTTTTTTTTTTTTTTTTTTTTTTGCCTATGCCTCCCTCTTTCCAGAATCTTTTTGTTAATGAGAGATTCAGGTATTCATTACATATGAGAATTTTTTTTTTACTTTAAAGATGATAGACTCTCATAATTTTTTTAAGCTGGAAAACTTCATGTAGGCCTCAAGGAACACTCAAACCCTCTATGCTAATCAACACAGCATGAAAAAAGACCTGCACAGTAATAGATTTTTAAAATCCTCAAGGTCTACAGGCTAAATGTTTGATATTCTGAGATGAGTTGGTTTTCAGAGTAGTATTAACTTTCCAATTTCCTCCTTTAAAGCAAACTAACACTGAGTTCTGAAGATTTTTGTCTCCTCTAATGGGTATCGCCTCAAGACGCTAACCCTCTCCTAATTTTATTTACCGTGGTAGGGAAGATCAAGGGTCAATTTTAAAAAGCAAGGAAAAGGTTCTAGCACATTGTAGGCACTCAATAAATTTCAGTGGTTGTTTTTATCATTATTATTATTGGCGATGCTGTCATGGCTACTGTTAAGGAGTATGTAGTTTACATACCTACAATGATCAGTTTATCATCATCTCGACTCCATGATGTAATTATTACCATCTCCATTCTACCAATGAGAACTCAAACACACTTGAAAGTTATGGGACTAGCCTAAAGTCATTTACCTGACAGTGGCTGATGCAGAATTTGATTCCAGTTCTGTTTGACTCTGACCATCATAGTATTTCTGTTACATCACATTGCTTTCTTATGAAGACCTAGAAGTCTTCTCTCTAGTGGAGCAGGTCAGAAGCCAGCTACTTGGAGAATAGGACACATAGGAACGACTCATTTATCTTTTTGTATGAACTCTCAGCACTTATTTTCAGACTTCCGGAGACCTCAGTCATCAAAATCCATACCCAAAAGCAGCCTGGAATACTAAACGGAGAACTGGACCAGGAATTTGGAAGTCTGCGTTCAACTATCACCTTGCCACTTACTAACTGTGTGACCCAATTCTCTCTCCAGCCCCAATTTTTCTCACAGTAAAATGAAGAGGTTGAATTTTTCCAGCCCTCCCAAATCAGTGATGCTGTAATTGAAAAACCTAAATCCTTCTCTTCCGCCATCATTAAGGTATGAAATTTTCCTTAAGAAAACGTAGAAGTGTTCAATATGTTTAGAAAGTTTTACCTTCCAAATATACATTTCAGGAAAACTTCGGATAGTTGGAAGAGAAACTGACATAAAACATTTGATTCCCATAAAGCAACTGTATTTTTTTTTCTTCTGAATTTTTTATTCTGTATTGGAGTATAGCCCATTGGAGAAGGAAATGGCAACCCACTCCAGTACTCTTACCTGGAGAGTTCCAAGGACAGAGGAGCCTGGTAAGCTACAGTCCATGGGGTTGCAAAGAGTCGGACACGACTGAGTGACTTCACTTTCACTTTATAGCCTGTTAACAATGTTGTGATAGTTTCAGACTAACAGAGAAGGGACTCAGTCATACATATACATGTGTCCATTCTCCCCCAAACTCTGCTCCCATCCAGGCTACCACATAACACTGAGCAGAGAAGCAACTGTATTTTTAAATGGCAGTCTTAAAAGGCAAAACTATAGAGAATGATAAAAAAGAGCAGAGGTTTTCAGGGTTTAGGGGAAAGGGAAGAATGACTGGTGCATAAGACTATTGGGGCAGAGAAACTATTCTGTGTGATACCATAATGGTGGATCCATGTCATGATATGTTTGTTCAAACCCATGGAATGTACAGTGCCAACAGTGATCTTTAGTGTACACTCTGGACTTTGGGTGATAATGATGTGTCAATGCAGGTTCAACTGTAGTAAGTGTACCATTCTGGTGGGGGATACTGATGGTGAAGGAGTCTATGCCTGTATGGGGGCGGAGGGTTTATGGGAAATCTCTTTACCTTCTGCTTAATTTTGCTGTCAACGTAAACTGCACTAAACTACAGTCTATTTTTTTAAAAATGCAAGTCTCTACTTTAAAATCTAGATTGATTGTCATTAACTTTGGAGGATTATGGAATCTGTTTGATGGTCTCATGAAGGCTATGGATCTTTTTCCTCAGGGACCCTCCAAGCCAATGTTCAGACCCTCTGGTCCAGATTCACAATTTATAAGCTAAGAGATAATTAGAGGACTATCAACTATTTATAGTTTCTGCATAAAGACACATCATAATGTTCCATTAACTCTAGACCTCCCTAGAGCTAGAAGGCCACCACAGAATGGGGAGAATGCAAATGGAGGAAAGGAATTATGGTAATGGGAGAAATCAATATTTCAGTACTTCTGAAAAAAGAACAAAAGTCCATGGTGGGGAAACCAGGATCAACCCTGTGATAATTTTATATGCATTTTCTTCTGAAATTGTCTGGTCATATATTATAAGATGCAACTATGTTATATTCCCAGAACTAGAATATAAATAAGTGTGCATTTATTTTACAGAGAGGTTAAGGACTTGTCCAAAACTCCATGATGACACAAAGAACTGAAATCCAAATATGTGGGATTTTTATTTCCTAGTCTCGCCTTAAAACAACTGTCTAATGAATGTATTTGCCTGCCAAGGAAATAAACTGGTTTGAAATAGTATGGGTTGCACCCAATGATATGCTGGCAGATGTTTAACAACCAGCTCTCTGAGGGAAAAAAGAATAGAATGTTAAATGTAATGTTAAGTGCTGTTAAGTGTATCTGTGAATATATACTCACATAAATACAAGGACCTCTTACCTCCTAAAGTTTCTGGAATGGAAATTAGTAGTGCACAGCTTTGAATACAGGGCTGAAATCATTGGCAGGAGCAGTTTCTACAATGATCATCACTGTTATTGAAAAATTAAACAGTAAATAAATGCTTTGCAGTGGTGGTGGCTTTATTCTAGACACCAGTCAAATGTGCCCCCAGGAACAGTCTTAGGGGAGGATTTGAAATTATGGGGGGATGTTCCATGCTCCCAGTTGATTCCTGTTTCCAGACTCTGCATTCTTAAGGAACATAAATGAGTTCTAGGCTAACCAAAGCAATTAGTTAAAGATATATAATGTGGTGCATTCCATATTTTATTTTATATGATAATGATAGATATATACGTATTATATATAATATATGAATGTTTAATATACATTTTATTCAAGAGAGTTTATTATATCTTTCATGTGTATGATTTCTTCCATTAGTGTTTATTTGGGTGTTACTTTCAACCCAGCTTATGACTTTCTACACTCCGCATTCAATATATCCTAGGAGGTTAAATGGAAAAAGACCCAGAAAATCCATGTTCAAGGATTGGTTATGACATGCTGAGTGGCCTTTAACTAGCTTAACTTCTCAGAGGCCCAGACTCTTCATCAGTTTCAATTTTCTAGTTTGTAGTGTATAAAAACGAGATCATGCCCAAGATTTTTTCCCATAAGAGGTTAGTGAAATGTAGTTATTTAATTTTATTCCTCTCAGGCAGATGTTTGTATATCACAGGTTATAGAAAAGGAATTCTATTCTTCAGACCAAGCTCAAACTAACCCATCAGAAAGTTGTCAAAAAAGAAGAAAAATATTCAAATACAAAAGCAAGCAAATTTGAAACCAGGAGATTTTTAGCATTAAAAATAAAGTAATAATTAACCTGTACTGTGCAAGGTGCTGACTCAGCAATAGTGTTACTGTCTCCATTTTACAGAAGAGTAAACTGAGGTTCACAGAGTCATGTTCTTTGCCAAAGGTCACAAACCCTAGTAAGTCACTGAGCAAGTATTGGATCGACTTGAGTCTGCCAACATCTCCGAAAATGCCTCTTCTGACATGCTAATATATCAAATGTAAAATGCCAAGTTAAACAAATATTAAAAGGTTGCCTTATGGCAAAACTTCTTAGGATTTCTGATATGTCATTCTGTATTTTGAATCTCCATCTGTGCATTGCTTCTGTAGACTTAAAAAAAAAAAAGTGTACAACATGAAAGTTGTGCGGTAAGTTTTATTTGGGGCAGAATGAGGACTACAGCCTAGGAAGCAGCACCTCAGATAGCTCTGAGAGACTGCTCCAAAGAGGCAGGGGCAAGGTCAGTATAAATGTGATTTTGGTGAAGGGGGAGTACATGCAATCAAGCTTTTTTTTTTTTTCCCCAGAAGGTTTCTGCTAGTCCTGTGAAGCTTTGCTAGTCCCAAGGAGTGGTTGTCACCATGAAGAATTTTAATGTTTTTCTAGATATGAGGAAATACAGGAATTGGGTTCATAAAATCAGCTCCTGAAAATGTCTATCTGAAGACTGTCCTGCCAGTTTTTCCCTGAGCACAGAGTGCCTCATTTCTGTTCTCCACCCTGAACTCCTTTCAGGGCATGTTGAAAATCAGCTTTAACCCTTACAGAGGTAGATGGCAGCTGCCAATGGCAAGTGCCCATTTGTAGTTGACACTTCCCAAATGTTCTTGACCGTGGAGTATTTTCTAGTTGATCATCTTGTAGAAACTATGCTCTGAAGAATGCTTGTATCTTGTCTCTCTTGAAAGTCTATGCCATGCATTTTCAAACAAGAACATTTAATCTGGGACCCATAGAATCTTGATTTCAGAGAATCTGTTTCATTCCTTTTATTTTGGTATATATTATGTGTGTTTTCCTAGGTATAGGGTCTATAGCTTTCTCAGCATCTCAAAGGTACGTATGACCACCAAGAAAAAGTAAGAAACACTTTTGCGTGGAGACAGGTGATTTATGTGAAAGCCTCTATATTTCCCTCAATAAACTCCATTTATGTGCCATAAGAACAGATGCCACTTATAGCTTTGCCATACTATGATTTTTATTGCACCCATAAAGACTCAAAATTGTGCTAATTGATTGGCCTATAAAAATAGACTGAACCACATGTGGGGTGTTACAAGCATTCTTTATGAGCAGCTGCTGGGAATATACTGGGGTGTGGGGACCAGAGAAGATGTGGATTTATTACCATGAGAAATTTTTTTTTTCTCTTCTTCTTGGAAAAAGGCTCAGCTCTGGTGAAAAGGGCAGATTCTATTTTGATTTGTGAGGCCATCAGGATGAGTAACTACAAGAAAAAGCATTTTTCCTAAAAGGTTTGTTGAGCTATGTTACAGGCTTTTGCATGAACCAATGAAACTCCATCAGTGGGGAGCAGAGAAGACCTAAGAAAACTTCTGGGCATACTGTCATGCTGTGTCCCTGTCCTGTACAGATCGTTTATCCACATAGTTGGATCACTTAAGTCTACAAATGATGTTTGTAAACTGAATCCTATTAAAACTCTTACATCAGGGAGTCAAGAGGGATTTAAGGAGCTCTAGACCTGTTGCTGAAAGTTCAGCAATAAATTTCTTTTAGTTGCAAAACATGTGGATGCTGCCATGATGCCACCTGCTTAATTCCATAACACAGTACTCTTTGCACTGCTTTCAGAGGCAACCTCAGAATCCTTCTCAATTCAATGACCCAGGCGACTACCACCAATTGCTTAGAGATGGCACAAGAGATGAAACATGAAACGCAAGCACTGTCCATATTGCAGGCTCTCCCGTAGCAAGCATTGACATTCTACTAGTAACCCTGTGTTCTCCACCCAAACACTCACTTCTTTTTGGACATCTTAGATGCCAACCCACCTCCTAGACCACTTATTACCATACTTTCCATATAAAATAGACAGTGGTCATTAATAATAGACGTATCTGCAAACTTGTGCAACCTTATTTTCACAACTACCGCTACAGCTACAAATTCACTCTTAAATGTGATAATATGTTGTTGAACACATAAATGACCCATTGAGCCACTTAATGTATGTTCTCATTTGTACAACAATTAGCAGAGAAGCAGGTGTCTGGTGATTGGCTAAGCTCATTTCACCAGCTAGGCACTCTGACTGCACAGCACACAATTTAAATCTGTGCCTGAGGGTGTTATACAATTAGCAACACCAGGACTCTTAAATCCACAAATGTCAAGGGCCTCACAAAGGGAATGAGCTGTGGAATCTGGCACTGTCCCACCGTTTGCATTAAAAATGGCTCTACCTGTATCAGGTAAAATAATGATACATGTAACCCCCCCAAAGAAAATCCTGTTACTCATATGCATGGACTACATGTGACCCAATAGCTGGCTCTTTCCAAATAAGAGGTGTTTGGCATTACTAAATGCTATGAACTGAATATTTATGTTCCTCCAAAATTTATATACTAAAACCTATTCTCCCAGTGTGATGGTACTAGGATGGAGAGGTCATAAGAGTGGAGCCCTCATGATGGGATTAACGTTCTTAAAAAGACACCCCAGAGAGCCCCTCTTGCCTATTCTGCCATGTGAAGTCACAGTGAGAAGACAAACATCTAAGAGCAGGATGCAGACCCTCTATAGACACTAAGTCTGACAGTGCCTTGATATGGACTTGCCAGGCTCCAGAACAGTGAGAAAAAACTTTCTGTTATGTGTAAGTCACCCAGTCTGAAGTGGACTGAGACACTACTGACATAAAATTGTTTCGGTAACAAGCTTTAGGACTAGGCTCTGCGTGTCCCTAACACACCCCACTTCCAGCTCCAAGGATCTCTAGCCAGAGCTACATTTAAGAATTGTGTTTTGCATAAGGTGTGCTAAGAGATGAACAACACTTGCAGACCTAATGATAACTTCCAACATGAATCTAAGTCTCCCCTTTCTCCTTTGTCTAGTTTAACAGAACTGTCCCAAATATAGTGAATTTTTACATTTTAAAATCTAAAGTGCACAGTCTAAAGAAAAGGCACTTAGTGCTCCAGGAAATTTATCAAGCTTACCTGTACAGGAGGGATGTAAGTCATCAAATACTGAAACTGTCATTTCATAGATATGGCCAGCTGGAACTATGTCTGGGTCCTTATAATCCAATTCTTTTACAACCTTGTAAAACAACATTATTTCAGAGAAAATGACTGACTTTTTGTTTAATGTACATATTTTAAGTAATAGATCATTCTGGAAAATGAAAGGGCGCAGCCATTTTCATTTAATAACAATAGCATTAGAATATTCTTGACACTGGTCAAAACTGACACACAGAAGTAGGCATTTTGGTGGAACAAAGGGACATCTTTGTTCTTCCAGAGTAGCTTATTTTTGGAGAAAGCATCCTAGCATAGTAGAAGAAAACTATGGGTCATAGCCTGTCTTCATCGCATACTAATTGTATGATCTTGAGTGAAATATTTTAAAAGAGAAAATGTTTTGAAAGCACTTTGGAAGTGATAAAGCATACTAATAAATATAACTACTCCTATTATGACAAGTCACTCCCATTTTAAAAATATTTACTGAGTATTAATTAAGTGCCAAGTACAGTTGTAGGTATTAGGGATATATGATCCCACAACAGAGACTTGAAGACAGTCCTCATGTAATAGCATTGGCACGAATCTCAGCTGGCATTAAGTGGAATTGCCAACACGACATCAAGTGCCCAGGTTTTCGGGACCCAGGTTAAAAATGTTTTAACTACATTTTTAAACTGAATATCTCATTCATTATATCATCCATTCATTCATTAAGTTATACTGAGAACCCACCATGTACCAAGCACTATGGAAGGTATTGAAACACAGAAATAAATGACTCAAAAACATATGTAAGAGAACTTAGCCAGTTAAGATAGTAAAGGAAAGCTTTCAGGAATAAATGACATTTAAGACCCAAAGGATAATTATGAAAATATAGAAATTAATTAGAGGTGGGCAACAGGTGGAAGGAGTTGTTCAGAAGCAGAGCAAGCATATGGAAAGGCTCAAATGTTAGTTAGCATTGTGTTTACAAAACTGCCATCTTTCTCCAAACTCCCTTTTTAAAATGACAGTTTTGCATTGCATTTCAAAATGAACATCAACTCAGGAAACCTCTTGGCTCAGTGGCTAATCTTACAAATTCAGAACATATGCAAACGCTCAGCTTGTAACTTGTGGAGTTTTCCAGAAAATTTAGGGTGGGTTTGGACCAAAAAATGAGAAGGATCATCAGTGGCTTTCTCAGTCATGTCTTTTGGCTGAGAAGGAGTGTTTGGTGATGCTTTGGTTAAGGAACAATTATACCAATCTAACTGGGATCAATATATTTTTGTTTTTTGTTTTTTTTTTGTTAGGGGTTGGAAATTTGGGGAGAAAAAAAATAATAGACCTGTGGAAATTAGAAGTTAGAAGGAAGATTCTCCCAAAGCACAATTCAATCTTGCAAAAGGGGAAAAAAAAAACTTACTATGTCCTCCCTCTGCCAGTGGAAAGTTTATGACCTCTTAAGGGTGGAGAAAGAAGCTGATCTCTCACTCCCAATGCCAGAAGGATGAGCCATCATCACACATGTAGTCAAACAGACTTATCTTTGAGAAAATCAGCATCTATTTCAGCCTCTGATTCATTTCCACAGCTAAACAGGAAGTCAATTATTTTGTGTTCATGATAAGGAGATGATGGTGTCCGGTAGCAAAACACTGAAGGACTTGCCAGAATGCCTTCCAGACCCTTCTCTGCTGTGTCCCAGCTCCCACTACTGAATGCACCCACATCAACCACACCGTGGCCATGAAATGACTCCATCTCCTCGGGAAAATCCCTGGAGAAGCAGCACCTGGTGCTCACCTGGATGAAATTTCCAGCAGTTGGCACTTGCTCAAAGAGTTGTCCAGAACCAACTGGCCCCAAGCTCGGAGCATAATGGATTGAATCAGGAGGTTCATCAAGGTCATGACACTGGAGTTTTGCAATCATCTCTTGGGCTGTGTATCTGTTTTATCTTTTAAGGAGGTGGAAAAAATGTTTTAGATGGATAGTCTTAAAAGGTAATACTTTCCTCATAAACATCCACCAGTTTGGATAACATACACGTGTGACAGCTCTACTTATTCTGGGACAGACGGTTCTGCTTTGGAACATCATCTGCGAGTCATTTCCCAAAAGGTGCTATGAATGTGGTCTGACTGCTCGTTCTCTGGGAGTATTTCTTTTCTCCACCCAGATGGGTACTTGTTTGGAAGGCTATCAAGGACATCACCTCAGTGGAGAAGGCTTGAGTTGGAATCAGATAATTCTTGAAAATTGTCCGAGTCTAGAGCATCTACATGGTGTGGTCAAGAGAGACAACCTTTACCCAGTAGTTACACTGGACTTATTTCCATCTCTGTAAAGTCTCCCATGTCTTCACTGGGATCCCTCTGCCCCAGATGCTCACTGTTAAGCCTTCACCCTCTAAAATCCTAGTCATTCTTCAAAGACTCAGGTAGATCTCACCCCTTCAGGAAGCTCCCCTGAATGCTCTAGTCCCACATATTCTTCTTTTAATCACCACACATATAATTTAATATTAAATCTTTTTTTTTTTTTTTGCTTTATATGTTTTCATCATATCATCATAACAGGAGACAACCTTCTTCTTTTAATCACCACACATATAATTTAATATTAAATCTTTTTTTTTTTTTGCTTTATATGTTTTCATCATATCATCATAACAGGAGACAACCTTCTTACAGCTAAAGACCATAGCGAATACTCCTCTCATCTCCAGGGGCTATAGGACTGAATTCATCATAGGGTAGGTATTTGATTAATTAACTATGATCCTGGAGAAACAGGGTGGAGAAGAAGGAGCAAGAAAAGGAAAAGGAGGGTATCATTTAGTGACTGCCAACCTCTGTACAGAACAAATTCTAAGCATTGCTATGTTCAGTTCAGTTCAGTCGTTTAATCATGTCTGACTCTTTGCAACCCCATGAATCGCAGCACGCCAGACCTCCCTGTCCATCACCAACTCCCGGAGTTTGCTCAAACTCATGTCCATTGAGTCGGTGATGCCATCCAGCCATCTCATCCTCTGTTGTACCCTTCTCCCCCTGCCCTCAATCTTTCCCAGCATCAGGGTCTTTTCCAATGAGTCAACTCTTCTCATGAGGTGGCCAAAGTACTGGAGTTTCAGCTTCAGCATCAGTCCTTCCAATGAACACCCAGGACTGATCTCCTTTAGAATGGACTGATTGGATCTCCTTGCAGTCCAAGGGACTCTCAAGAGTCTTCTCCAACAAGGTAGGTGTAATTATCATCTTCATTCGAAAGGTAGAGTAATTGGTGCACAAACAAAACCACATGAGTAGTAATTAGCAGAAACTAGGCTTTATTTATCATTAGATAATCAGAGATAAAGTTTAGAAAACAGGAGGTGTGCTGGGGGGCAACTGTATTACATGTAGTTGAGAGTTTGATTGGGATAGGGGAGTGGAGACAAAGAAAGTCACAAATTGTAGGTTTGGAAACTGAGCTTCAAATAATAAAAAATAGCCATACTGACAGAAACCCAACCCCATAATCCCATATCCAAATTCCAAAAGCCCGAAACAAGACTGTCTCATAATTTACTGAGATCATCAAAGCCTGACCTAACCTGACAGGCCAGATCTTTCTTTGTTCCACTTAGTTTGAGTGTTTCTCTGTTTCACAGCAGAGATATTCATGAATTTGAATAGTGGGTAATTGCATAATATATAGTAGACACGCCATATTACTTTTCTAAAATTCAAAAAGTCTTTGTCTTGAAATACAGCCAGAGCGAAAGGTTTTCAAATAAGGGATTACGAAACTGTGATAAACAGCATTTATGAAATTCACACCACATGCTCAGCACTATGCTGAGAATGTTATATAAATTATCCCATTTATTCTAAAGAGTACCCACCCTAAAGAGCAAGTACTATTGTCATCCCATTTCATAAAGAAAGAAATTGAAGATCAGAAGGTTTCAGTAAATTACCCAAGATCACAGAGCTCTTGTATGATAGAACCAGGAATCCAATCCAGGTCTGTGACTCTAGAACTTAAGCTTTTAACAATTTACTGTCAGATCCAGAAAACCTGGATTTCAACAAGTCATTTCTCAGAACCAGAATATGAGACTCAATAAGCGTCAACGTGATGATCAACCATGGGTCTGGTTGAACCAATAAACAGCAATACCTCTGCTCTCCACTCACTTGAAATTCTTACCTCAGCCACCCGTCATCTCAGCTCACCTAATCAGATACTGATCATAAAAAGGTGCATTGTCACTCATGCCATAGATATAGACAGTCACCAGAATGGCCACACACCGCCAATATCCGTCACAAGCTTTAACTGGAGGACTGACCACGTGCGAATTCAGCTCTCTCCACAACAAGGCAAGAGGTGGTAACCACTGTTCCCCGCTCTGCAACAAAACAGCACATCTTGCTGCAAACTGGCCCGTGTGTCATTTTCAAAATTACTTTATTACATAATGATATAAAAAATAAAGTATGAATTATGCCCCATTCATTAGAATTAAGAAGCTGATTCAAAATGTAGACATAGTGTGTAATTGTTTATCACTAAAATACCCTCATTATTCTACTAGTAAGTAGCAAAACAAAATTGTTTTTGGCTTAGGGGAACAGGAAAGATTTTCTAGAAGGGGTGGTCCTTATTTTAGACCTTGAAGGATGTGTCAGATAAGGAAAGGATGGCAAATGGAGATCATTCCCAGCAGAGAGAACATCATACATGAAATCACAGTAAGGCGATCATAACTTATCAGACTTCCTTCCACCCAGTCCATCCATCCATTCATTCCATTTGAACAAGTATATGTGGAATGCCAACTATGGGTTGGAAACTGTCTTGAATACTGGATGAGCCACAATTAAATTCCTTCCTTTATAGAATTTACAATCTGGGCTGAGAGGCCAACAGTAAGCAAGCATAAACAAGAAAAGAATTTCAAACAGACTTTCATAAGGAAATGAAAAAGAGTAGGACACAACTTAGCGACAGAACAACAACAAGGAAATGAAAACTGTGATGTTATTAAAAATAATGTCTAAGGGTGAGGTCCTGAAAAATGCAAGGCCAGAGATCCTAAGGCAGTTGGTCATGTGGCCTTAGTCATTTGGCGGTGGTGTAATAGACAAAGGAAGACAAGGAACAGGATGAGGTTGGAGGGAGAGGCAGGGGCCAGAGAAAGCAAAGTCTTGGGGATGAGATCAGAAGTCTGGATTGCATTCCAAGGGCAAAGGAAAATTACAGGATAATTTTATATAGATCTGGTTTGACTTTTTNCAAGGAACAGGATGAGGTTGGAGGGAGAGGCAGGGGCCAGAGAAAGCAAAGTCTTGGGGATGAGATCAGAAGTCTGGATTGCATTCCAAGGGCAAAGGAAAATTACAGGATAATTTTATATAGATCTGGTTTGACTTTTTGTTTTTTTTTTTTTTTTTTTTGGCTGTGCTGCATAGCAAGTGGAACCTTCCTGACCAGGGATTGAACCTGCACCCCCTGTAGGGGATGTCCAGCAACTTAACCACTGGACCGCCAGGGAAGTCCCCAGCTTGACTTTTAAACAAATTCACTGTAGTGGCTCTGCTCAGCAGAAGCCCAGTTAAGATATCTATGCAGAAATTCAGGTTGGAGGGGATGGTGCCTGCCCTGATTGGAGTGCCCCCAGGAATAGAAGCCAAGATGAGAATTTGAGTGCAAGTAGTTTATGTGGGAACAGATCTGGAGCACTGGGGGATGGGAGAAGTGAGACAGGAAAGGAAAGGCTGCAAATAAAAAAAGTACAGTCATTACCGAGCAGGTTACCACTGTGGGCAACTTACAGTTTAATACCACTGGGGAACTCTGGAAGCCAGTGAGAAGCATGCACTCAAAATTTTCCCTCCAGGGACTTCCCTGGTGGTCCAGTGGTTAAGACTTCACCTTCCAATGCTAGAAGTGTGGGTTTGATCCCTGGGGGGAAAGCCAATCCCACATGGCTCATGACCAATAAACCAAAACATAAAATAGCAGCAATATTGTAACATTCAATAAAACTTTAAAAATGGTCCACATCAGGACAAAAAGAAAGAAAGAAAGAATTGTGTCTCCAAGGGCAAAAAGCTGAAATATTTGTACATCAGTTCTCTTTGGTCATTTGTTGAAAGCTTGTGGGGATAGGTAGTGTTTTTCGAACATTTCTAACCTGCTCTTTGCAGAGGAGGAAAAGGGTAGACCCCAAATAATCCCTCAAGCAAAGAAATGCAGATCCTGGCAGCTGCAAGTCAGGCCACAAAAATGTTAAGGCCGGAAAAGACACAGACAGCATCTGCTACAATGGCTTAAGCTTGCAGATGTGCTAGAGACCACCTTTGTTGTCTGTTCAGCCCCCCAAGAAGTCTTACATTCCACATAACCTGATCTACCCCCAACATGATTGGGCAAGAAGGGAGTGATGGATTCTAGATAGTCCAAAGAGATTCTCTCTCACAAAAATGTGAACATGGAGCAGAGAGAGAAGTGATTTAGGCCTAGAAAGATGTGCTAGAAGATCAAAAGAGTGGAGAGCTATCCTTCTGTAGCAGCCATTAAGACCCACAACTTAGCTCACAAGTGGACAAAAGACAAGGTTTTACCAAAAGTTATGCAAGAGATGCATATTAATGTTGAAAGTGAAAGTGAAGTCGCTCAGTCATATCTGACTCTTTGCGACCCCATGGACTGTAGCCCACCAGCCTCCTCCGTCCATGGGATTCTCCAGGCAAGAATACTGGAGTTGGTTGCCATTTCCTTCTCCAGGAAATCTTCCCGACCCAGGGCTCGAACCCAGGTCTCCCACATTGCAGCCAGGCGCTTTAACCTCTGAGCCACTAGGGGAAAAGGAGTCCAAAATGGTGGTGGATAAAAGACAGGAAGGGAAAAGCCCGTGAAAATAGAGCAGAGGAAGGTCAGAGGAAGGTCTGAGGACCGGAGTGAGGACTTCAGGTCAAACAACGCTCCTGCCTCAGCCCAGGCCCAGGGGGAAGAAAAAAACATATAAAAAGAGGAGCCAAAGGGCTCTCTCTCTCTCTCCCTCCCTCTCTCCCTCCCCCCNACCCTACCCCCACGCGATGGGGCCCTCTTTTCTTTGTGTCTTTGGATCCATGTGCCCTCACGCCTGGAAGATGGATTTTCCTGCTATCTTCTAAATAAAGTAGAGCTGTAACACTGCGCTGTAACACTGATTTGTCTAGGAGCTATAACACGGTCCATTCGAGACCTGAGAACTATAACACAGTCTGCCCAAGACCCTAGAGCTGTGACCTGCCTAGGGGGCTTTAATGTCCATCACTCCAAATCTTTGTTGTGATGAGACAAAGAACCGAGGAGCATACACTCCCTGACATTACTATCTACCATGTGCTTCTTTAGGTGTTCTGAAAATGCAGACAATCAGATATCTACCCTCAAGGAATTCAGTCTTGCAAAGGAGACATAATACAAATGATAATAGTAGAAAATAAAGGAGAGAATTTGAGAACACTCTCAACCTACCTTTGTCAACTGCAAAGTATGCATTCCTTCAATCTAGTTCAAAGGTTAAGTTACCCAAGTAATCTTTGGCTGCCTGGCAACCGTTTTCCCAGTTGGAATTTCCTCATCCAGTGTGATGTTGACTTCATTGTGCAGACTTGAATTTGCAGAGGAAACACACAAAATAGCATTCTCCATGTTGAAAGATCTTGATTTAAAAGAGAAGACTATCAGAGTGGCAATGGTTTGGTGTGTGTTGTTTTCCACTTGTTCTGGTGGTAGAGGGGTTGAGGCTAGAAGTAGTATGATGAGAGTGGAAAGCATGGACTTTGGAGTTAGCCCATTTATTGAATACTTGCCTAGAGTTTAGACTCAATGCTAAGCACTCTCCTTGTGTTTCCTCATTTATTCCTCACAGGAGTCCCAGGAAGTAGGTACCATTTTACAGATGTGGAAACAGATTTTAAGAAAGTAAGTAACTTTCAGAAGTAAATACCAAGGTGTCTAAGAAAGGATTTGACCCCAAGGCTATCTGGCTCTAGAGACTATACTAAACCACTGAGCTCTTAGCTCCCTAGTGTAAGCACTAGTTTTTTAGAAATGCTGTCCCTTCATTATGGTTTTATAAACTTCTTGGTGATAATTATCACCAGAATTTTCCTTGAGAGCAATAAGGGAGAATTCAGCCCATCAGATATTAAGAATATATTGCATTAATACCTAATTCTATTGCAATTTCAATATGTTTTATGCTTTAAAAAACTACTTTGCTTTCAGTTGTTAAGAAAGCTTTTTCTTTGCAAACTTAAGAGATTGCTTACATCTGACTTTTCTTTCTTTTTTCTTTTCCTCCTCATGGGAGAAAGAAAGGAAAAGCTATTTCATTCTAATGGAAATTTCACTAATGAATTTCAGAGACTGCATTTTATATTCAATTTTCAAGACCAGTTTAAAAGAAAACATTTTATTTCCTTATCTGCAGGTAAGAATGGGGTCCTTATTGTTGACATTGATGAGGAAAATCTTTAGATTCCCAGCAGTAAACAGTCCTCCAGGATCAACCACTTTTTAATAACAAGTGAGAAACTGAAAGGGTAGCCACAGGAAAAACAGCTAAGATTTTATAGTAACTGACAGGCTTTCACAGAAATAGAATTTGTTTTGCTTTAGCTGACCAGTGAAAACAATTGATTCATTTAGTTGAAATGTCAGTCAAACCAGTTATTTTAACAGTTGGCAATGGTTAAGAATCAAATTAGTCGAATCTGTTGAAAGGACAGGTAGGAATTTAGAGAAGTCTGTTAATTCCCATCAATAATAAAAAATTGAAGGGAATTCCTTAGTGTGGTAGAGCAAACAGAACTATGGGTATGGGCTCTTGCCTTTAAACACTGACTTTTCAATATGGAAAACTGACTGACAAATACAAAGAAGATTATTCCGAAGAACAAATATTATTCCAAATACAAAGAAGATTATTCCAAAACTATTTATGTGATCAGTTAAACATGGGGACAGAGGATTTTGAGAGTTTAAAGATTCTGGCAATTTCTACCTCCCAAATAATGATAAATACAGATTTAGGAGCATGCTCCTGCTGACTTCAGTTACATCCCATTTTTAAACTTTTTTTTTTTATATTGGAGTATAGCCAATTAACAATGCTGTGATAGTTTCAGGTGGACGGCAGAGGGACTCAGCCGTACATATATATGTAACCATTCTCCTCCAAACCCTTCTCCCATCCAGGCTGACACATAACATTGAGCAGAGTTCCCTGTGCAATACAGTGGGTCCTTGCTGGTTATCCATTTTAAATATAGCAGTGTGTGCTTGTTGATCCCAAATTCCCTAACCATCTCTCCTCCCACCTCACCCCCTGGCACCCAAGTCTGTGAATCTCTTTCTGTTTTTTAAGTTCATTGGTGTGTGTATATATATATATATATGTGTGTGTGTGTGTGTGTGTGTGTGTGTGTATATGGGACAGTGACATGCCATTTTTGAATCCTCAATCTATTTTACTGAAGATGCTGACCCAGGATATATTGCATCTTCAACTTTCATAATCATGAAGAATGTCCTTATGAGATTCAGGAGCAAGCTGACTAGAATGGTTTAAAGGTCTATTTCATTTCCCTGTAAAGCACTTTGACGCAGAACATAAGACTGAAAAGGGTGGTCATAAAAACCATTATAAAAATAGAAATAAGAGCTGTGAACTGACCCCCTACAGCAGATGTGGAGGAAATCAGGAGAAAATGTCAGTCCATTAACTTTTCAGAGTTGCTGGATTACATTGGGAATGAATTCTGTGCCCCAGTCATCCAGGGAGAAGTCCCCACCGCCTTCTATGGCAGGTCACAAACGCCATCACTGAAATCACCTTGATGCCTGGCTTTGAAGAAAGTGGATGATGAAGAGAAGGGCCCTAATAGCCACAGCTAGTACTTAAACCAATAACTGTGCAATTACAGTTTAGATGATGATTTCATATCTAAGGCAGTGCCAAAAGCACATTCATTTGGGAGCACATTGAAGCCAGATGGGGTGAAATCCTCTGGAAAAGGAAACTATGGACCGAAGGGTAGACATTTTGAGTAAATGAAAAGCCACTAGCAGTATTTACTTTCTAGCTTCATTCTTAAAATCCAAAAGTGCTGATGTAGAAATTATTCCGATGCTGTCGTTTGTGAAGCCAGAGCCCTCTAGGGGAAGGAAGTACTGTTTATTGGACAGGAAGAGAAAGCAAAATATTGCAGAGACATTGAAATAACCAGATGACATACACCTCCAAGAACCAGTCTTGAAATCTCTCTGTACTCTGGGCCACCCCCCTCCCACCCACCACATGTGAACATGCTCATGCCTGCCTGTGACGATGCTGATGAAATTGTACTCTATTTAACCAACTTCAAGCCAGTTCGTTTGCCCTTAAATATTAAAAATGGATTTTCCTAATCTGTTATATTCAGTATGTTATCTGAGCACGTATGTCTCACAACACTCTAATGAAAGTTAAAGTTAAATGAAAAGGACTTACATTTAGAGAAGAGTACTGATTGTTTAATGAGAACCTGACAGACTGTTTTCTGTTGACTTGGTGATGCTGGCGGTACACGTTTTTCAGGGAGGACTGAGAAGACAGGGAGCTGTGGAGGGGGAAAACAGGAATATTGAGATGTCTATTCATCTAATTTTATGTGTGTAGGTACTACCAGGAGCTTTTCTGGTGGCTCAGACAGTAAAGAATCTGCCTGCAGGAGACCCAGGTTCAATCCCTGGGTCAGAGAGACCCCCTGGAGAAGGGAATGGCCTTCCACTCCAGTATTCTCACCTGGAGAATTCCATGAACAGAAGAGCCTGGCAGCTACAGTCCTTGAGGTCACAAAGAGTCAAACATGACTGAGCGACTAAGCACACACAACACACAGGTACAAGCAATACTTTAAGTTGTCTTTTTTTCCTTGACTTTCATCTATATTACCTTCTAGTTTTCTGTTAAATGCTTCCAATGCATTGTGTTTTAATGATCATAACAATTCTGCCATAGGTTACTGATATTATTCCCCATTTCACAGATAGGAACACTGAAGATTAGAAAATTCAAGTGGTGTGTCTCCAGTCTAAGAGCTGAGCTTTTCATAATGCTTTTTTACTTACCACACTGCATCACTAAGACAGCTTGCTTGGGCTTGGGGGGTTTTGGTTGTTGTTGTTTTGTTTGCTTTGCCAAAGAGGGTAGGTGAGATTTGCGTATCTGGAATAGGTAAGAAATTATTAGAAAAAGCTCAGGCAAATCATTCATGGGAGGATTAATATCAGGAGTTAATTAAACTGAGCACTACTGGCTTAATAATTGTGTAGACCTGGAGATAATTTAATAGAGAAGATTAAACCCAGAAGGATTGCAAAGCAGCCTAAAAATCATTTGGAGAAATTTGTGACCTTTTAATTTATTGATTTTCTGATGCATCACGGTGTTCTGATTAATTTAAATTCATACCATCCATTTCTACACATATAAATAAGATAGAATTGAGTTCTGCCTTTGCTGTAGAACAATGTTGTAGAAATTAGCATTCAGGAACTGCAGAAGAATCCATCACCTATCTACTTTTAGGGCAAACAGGAATAATGATGCCCATTTCATGGTGGGAGGACGAAGGATGGCTGGTGGTTTAATACTCGAGGGTGCTCAAAAGCACTGGTTATATATAAAAAAAAAAATAAGATTTTTTAAAAGACACCTACATTTATGTGCCTAACCACTCAAGAATTTGCAGTTCTCAATTCAGTTTCTGTATTAGAGTTGTCAACCACTGTTTGGGAACAATATATATTGGGAAGCTGCATTTTTATGAGGTTTAATTTTTCATAAAATGAGATAGTCTTTAAAAAAAATTGATGGCACTGATATGAACAACTCCTGCCGCTGTTCAGAGAAGGTTGGAGCTGATGGTTGCTAGGCAGCCAGGGCCATCACTGGGAAAACCACCTAAGTGAATGCTCCCAGAACAGGAAGGCAGTCCAAGGGATGAGAAATTAACTCTCTGTGGGACCAGGCAACTTAGATTCATTTCTCCCCATTTTATCTGTAATAACACCATCAACTAGTAAAGAATAACAATGGTAGCTTCACTCCTAAGTTGAGAATTATTTCAACAGCTCACAGGGGGAAGTGTGGCAAGGGGAGTTTTATGTCTTTCTGGATGGACTTAGCTTCCAAATCCACTTTATTCTCTTCTCTGAAAGTCTTGTTCATGGCTATTTGCTTTCAGAGATGCTTGGGAATCAGAAATGTCAGAGCCCAGACTGCAGGCCAAACCCAGCAAGGAAAATTAGGGCTTCTATGTTTCAAGAGCAGTGACAGAGTTCTTCTGGATTTCTCCGTGTTCATGGAAAGAACAGTGATGGCTACCCTCTACTCTGACTCAGATTCTGTGCTTAGCCTTTTTCCCTGGACTGTCTCATTTAATCCTTAAAACGATGCTAAGAGATTTGTACTCTGCTCAGCCCCATCTTACAGATGTGGAAGCTGAGGTGTACAAATGTCAAGGAAATGATCCACGAACACATAACTAATCCATGGTTAACCTGAACCTCAAGCCCACATCTTTCTGACTTCAGAGCATCATGTTATACTGCCTGGCTCCCATTGAGATTTCCCTGGTGGTCCAGTGCTTAACACTTTGCCTTCCAATGCAGGAATTGCACTTTCTATCCCTGGTCAGGGACCTTAGATCCCACATGCATTGTGGCCAAAAAACCAAAACATGAAATAGTATGTAAACAGTATGGTAAAAAATTCAATAAAGACTTTAAAATAGGTCCACAACAACAACAAAATCTTTAAAAAAAAAATTATAAACTTGTTTTTAAATATTTAGGGTAGGGATTTAGAGTGTTTACACAGATGAAGATACAGTGACACTAGAGTTGGACCATGAAGAAAGATGAACCCTGAAGAATTGATGCTTTCAAACTGTGGTGCCGGAGAAGACTTGAAAGTCCCTTGGAGGGCAAAACGATCCAACCAGTCCATCCTAAAGGAAATCAACCCTGAATATTCATTGGAAGGACTGATGCTGAAGCTGAAGCTGAAGCTCCAGTGCTTTCGCCACCTGATATGAAGAGCCACCACCTCTTTGGAAAAGACCCTGAGGTTGGATAGATTCCGGGCAGGAGAAGGGGGCAACAGAGGGTGAGATGCTGGGATGGCATCATCGACTCAGTGAACCTGAGTTTGAGCCAGCTCTGAGAGACAGTGAAGGACAGGGAAGCCTGGCATGCTGCAGTCCATGGGGTCACAAAGAGCTGGACACGACTTAGCAACTGAATGGCAACAACTCAGTGTTACTGTTTAAAGGGAAATAGGGGAGGGAAAGGAGCAGAGGGCAAGGGAAGACTAAGATGAAGCCCAGAAAAACACTGGAAGATCTAACAGGAGGAGGATGAGCAGGGATAGACAATCAAGGTAGGCAGAAAGATAAGAGAAAAGCTCAAAGAGTTTATTATCTAAGAAGAATTTAACATTATCTATTACTGAATACTATCTGTCAAGCACTGTTCTAAGGCCTTTAGATGTATGACCTTATCTAATCTTCAGAATCACCCTGAGGTAGATCCTATTATTAACCTCATTACAAATCAACTGAGGCACAGAGAGGTTGAGATTTGCCAAAGGTCACAAAGCCAGAACATAGTAAAGTCTAAACATCCACCTAGGCTATCTGACATTAGAATCTGAGCTCTTTACTGAAAGACTAATTTGGTAGTTTGTCCTAAGATGATACTTTCTTGAGGGAAATGTGTACACAAGTATGATCTGTGATAAGTTTTTTTTACATAACAAGACATTCTCGATGTTCTTAAAGCACAAATCCTGGCTAATCACAGATCACCTGTGAAACCTTTTTATAGGAGAGATACATTTTCAGGAAAGTATTTTCAAACTATAAACACGGATCTAGACTAAACATTAATTATGTTAGTATGTGTGTTAGTTGCTTCAGTTGTGTCCAGCTCTTTGCAACCCTATGGGCTGTAGCCCACCAGGCTCCTCTGCCCATGGGATTCTCCAGGCAAGAATACTGGAGTGGGTTGCCATGTCCTCCTCCAGGGGATCTTCCCAACCCAGGGATCAAACCCACGTCTCTTATGTCTCCTGCATTGGCAGGTGGGTTCTTAACCACTAGTCACCTGGGATAACCCTGCATTTTAATCCTATTAGAGCATTCTGCTACATTCACCCTATAAAAAATGGGCATAGTTTGCTACCTATACAGTTATACTGGGCAGTTAGCGCCCTCATTCTTTCTAAAATAAAGCTTTATTAACCATGTATAATACACTGTCTCAGTGGCTAGCTAAAGATTAAAGACCTTTAGTCAAGTGCTGATCATAGTATCTTTGCCGACTGAACCTAGACTGCCTCAGAATCCTTCTTAGCCATCAGAGAGGGTATGCAAGTTGAAACTGATTTGCCATCCCTGACCAAGTCAGACATTCCCAGTGGACTTAGCCAGGTATTTATTATATACCTGGTAGCAGTCACAGCATCTGAAAAGCTAACTTTACAACCAATCTGCTATGTTTCTCAACCTGTGGATTTGAGACCACCTACACATTAAGAACCTCCATCCATGAGTCAATTATTGAAGCAGAGATTCAGTGAGTATTCATTACACTGTTCTTTCTGCTTTTATATACAGATGAAATTTCCATAATTGTTTGTTAAATACACAGACGTACTTGTTTCAGAATANCTACCAAATTAGTCTTTCAGTAAAGAGCTCAGATTCTAATGTCAGATAGCCTAGGTGGATGTTTAGGCTTTACTATGTTCTGGCTTTGTGACCTTTGGCAAATCTCAACCTCTCTGTGCCTCAGTTGATTTGTAATGAGGTTAATAATAGGATCTACCTCAGGGTGATTCTGAAGATTAGATAAGGTCATACATCTAAAGGCCTTAGAACAGTGCTTGACAGATAGTATTCAGTAATAGATAATGTTAAATTCTTCTTAGATAATAAACTCTTTGAGCTTTTCTCTTATCTTTCTGCCTACCTTGATTGTCTATCCCTGCTCATCCTCCTCCTGTTAGATCTTCCAGTGTTTTTCTGGGCTTCATCTTAGTCTTCCCTTGCCCTCTGCTCCTTTCCCTCCCCTATTTCCCTTTAAACAGTAACACTGAGTTGTTGCCATTCAGTTGCTAAGTCGTGTCCAGCTCTTTGTGACCCCAAGGACTGCAGCATGCCAGGCTTCCCTGTCCTTCACTGTCTCTCAGAGCTGGCTCAAACTCAGGTTCACTGAGTCGATGATGCCATCCCAGCATCTCACCCTCTGTTGCCCCCTTCTCCTGCCCGGAATCTATCCAACCTCAGGGTCTTTTCCAAAGAGGTGGTGGCTCTTCATATCAGGTGGCCAAAGCACTGGAGCTTCAGCTTCAGCTTCAGCATCAGTCCTTCCAATGAATATTCAGGGTTGATTTCCTTTAGGATTATAATCTCATATTTGTCTCTAAATCTTCCCTTGTTACAGCAGCTGAAAACAGTTGTCGGGTTGACTCGTGCCAGAAAGCAGAGTTTGTTACCACACAAACTCACATGTTTCCACCAGATGGGCTGCTCTGCGTTTTGCAAAGCCTGGTCTGTAGAGCTGCTCCTAGAGCCTAGAGGTCTTAGGTTTCAGCCTCTGTTGCAGGGATTCCCCAGAAACTGATCCAGTAGCGAAAATTTCTGAGCCAGAGATT